TCTAAAAGTAAGAATTCTCTCATTGGCCAGATTAGAGTCGTATTATATCATTTCTAGTAGGATGCCCAAGAAGAGTACGCTGGGCTTCATTATTCGTGTTTTACGCTGTGTTTGGCATCCTTCTTGTTCCGTTATGGGGTCTGACAGCCATTAGCTCTTCATTGAGCACCGATGTGTACAGTGGGGATGTTGTAAACGTCGGATCTGTTTCTGGCGTCTGGTTCAGTAAAACTACATTCTCCACCAAAACTACTGACCAGTTCCCTACTGCAGAGTTTCTGATCTTCTACACAGAAGATTCCCCAACAGAGCAAGACATAAGCAGTGAAACCTTTTCATCCAAAAACTTTTCTTTCCCTCAGGGTTTAATCGTTGCAGAAAAGCAACAGAATTACTTTTTGAAAGGCACCAAACTCTTTTTCATTTTTTCTGTAGAAAATCCGTCACAATTTGGCAATTTAGCAAACATTTGTCAGTTTACTAGCCGAGCAGACTATGAGGATATTACCAACGATCCTCCATCAAATGAAACTATTGCAAAGACAGAGAAAAAGGGTACCTGCAAACCAATTTTAGAAGCACCTAACCAGTTTTACATTCACAGGAGTGGATACTACTGGTACGTTTTGTCTACACCGCTCAGCCCAGATGATGCAAATATCAATGTCCGCACAAGTTATGAATACAATCTCACAAAGGTTGCATACAACATTACAGAGCTCGGCAGCCCACATAAATGTGAATTTTTAAATGGAGGGGAGAGTGAGTGCACTATTACTGATTCGGTGCTCCGTTCAGGGTCAACAATGAATGTTTTGGCTCTACTAACGTTCCCAGATACGTCCGAGCACTACAAAGTCACAGTATCACAAAAGAAGGCTATCGCAATAGCACTTTCATTTTTTATTCCATTAGTGGCTGTTCTGCTGATTTTGTTGTTTTTGACACTGTTGTTTTTAATTAAGAGACACTTCTCCTGCTGTAAATATTAAGATACTTCTTGCAACGTTGGTGTGTGTATTTTTCTATAGTGCTGAGCTATATATAACTGTAAGATGTCACATAACCTTATACGCTGAAGGTTTGTTCGTATAAAAGTATATATATTATATGCACTGTGTGATAGTGAGAAGTATGATGTTGATGTCCATGGCAGTTATATCACATTTGCATTGTCAGCAGCACATACCAGTGGCAAAGCCTTGTGGGTATGAATCTCCAGAACCACAAGTGCTGCGCTCCTGGTAGCCTTCATAAAACTCGTGATGCCAGAGAGAGAAGTTGCGGTATGCTCTGCTGATAAAGGCCAACAAGCCCGAAACAGCTGTCCAGAGCTCCACATCTTTTTTATCTTGGCATCACAGGTTTAATACCTTCATGGTTACACAGCTTTGTGCTTCAGGCCTAACTACCCAGTTATTAAAGTCAGGTGACCATAGAGATTCTCCAGTTATTAAAGTAGCCACATCAAGCACTAAAATACAACAGCAACAGAACAAGGATTCTAAGAAACGTACACTACTATTGGATCCAGTATCCTGTGGATGGAAAAAGCAATGTGCAATGTTAAAGAGTAACCAGGCATTAACATTTACATCAGAGGCTGGTCCGTTTTGCTCCCTATGTGATCCTTTACTCTGGATTGGACAGTGGATACAACACGAGGGCTGATGGACCTGTCACTTGTCAGCAACTCCATTAGAACAGTGTTGATTTTATTACCACCTACACAGATATGAGCAAACTGCACAACTGGGTAAAAAGACAACGCATATAGGGAACAGAGTCTGAATAGATAACTCTAAAATTTGGTCTACAACAGTTTTATGTTGATGCACTGCGGAAGGATATGGGATTATTGTTGGGTTCATTGCTGAGATGCAATTTACCATGTCAGGGAGTGGAGAAGATCCTAAGCTCATATTGTATAACTACAGGCTCTTTCCTCCTCATCTTCTCTATATACTATGGTCTAAGTATACAATAGTATGCAGTAGTATAGTAGTACAGTAGTAGCTAGGTGCTGCTGATTTTCACATTGCTAGCACTAAGGTTCTTTCTTCGTTATTATCATGTTTACACTGACCTTTGGAATCTAATTTTTCATGCCAGTGATTAGCCTTCTAGACTAGTGTTTTCGTCATATTAAGTCTTTTTCTTGCTATTCTGGTGGTCCAGTGGAGGGTTGGTGACATAGTCCAGCCGGCCACTGGCCCACCCTACGATCCCTCTCATCTATCTGTAACCTTTCCATCTCTATTTCATACTTGCACTTATTTTGGTGGGTAGAGCTATTATGTCTGGGATGACAGGTTAGCATCTACCTTGGGAGGACAAATTGTTCAAGCCCTGTAGTCTTTATTATGTTCTTATGGGACAGTAGTGTTGTAGCAATAGCTACTCTACTGCTCCTCATTGAACCCATGGGTTCCTGATATAAACTTCAACATTAGCCCCATGCAGTTAGCTCTTAATTAAACCTTGATGAACATCTGTGAAACCCTTGCTCTGCTATTTAGTTCCTCTATCAAATATACTATAATATGACCAGAAGGTCACCTAAGCTACATCAACTGGAGACACTACAAGAACTATAATAATTGTGTGGTTTATGCAGCATGACTTTTCCACTCGAACCATAGAGCCAAAACCTCAAGTTGATGCATGTTGTGGGCACTGTGATTACCATTTCAATGGTAGCTAGCTAAAAGACAGGCATTTTAGCAATTTACACAAACTGAACATAGCTACTGCAAATGAATTACTCGCATTATTTTCATCTAAACAATAAGAGCTGAGATATGTAGTCAGTCCACAGTTTTAACGAAGTAAATGCACACCATGGCAAAACAGAGTAAGAGTAGCTACCTGAGTATGTTTTACAGTAGGGTGCCACTGCATCTGGACCCCCAGTGACGTAGTTGACAACAGATCTCGTGCGCGTTTGTGTAGATTTGTCCTTACAAACTGCTTGCAAAGTGCAGGTATAGCCTGAAATGTCCTAAATTTATACAGTAAAGTTTACCAAAAACGACAACGCGTTACTGACAGAGTAGAGCTTACTGTATTCAGATCGTCCAGAAGACTGTCCAAATCGCTCTCGTAAACGGCACAGATACTGGGATATTGGACTTTCACAACAAGGGTGGTAACATCTTGCGTGGGGGAGCCAAGCGCCATGGATAGTCCTGCGTCGATTATTCCAGAATAATTTCAGGAATAATAGGTCCCTCTGGGAATAAGAATAATTCCAAGAATAATAGGTTGAAAGTTTCCAAGCGAGCGACGAGCCGGCAACTCGCGGAAGGGCGAAGTGCGAGTGGACACGCGTCACGCGCACGAGTGGGTCAAAACGGAACGGACTCCGACTCGGACAGGGAATCAGGGATAAAAACCACGTGTAGCGTGCCAGAATGGCCAAGAGCGGCGCGCCGCCGTGGTCACGTCATGCATCATCGATATCTGGATGGCGCGCGGCGTTGGGGGACGTGCCGACTTTTCCGAGCTCAGCCTAAGAGCATACCTACCAACCTGCAGATAAAGCTTTGCTTGAGAGATTTGGATGTTGTGGGCCTAATCAAAATGTATGGGCATGATCCATCACAGGATAGCACTGGATGGTTGGTATGTAAGAGCATGGCGAATGCAGGGCATTTTTGGGGAGCGAGAGCACTCCACGAGCCATCCTAGCTTATTAGTAATAATATCTCTCCATTTAGCATCAGTAATTGCTGCTGAAATAGCACGTCTATTAAAAATCAAGCAACTCTGGCACGCTACTACTACACTAATTTGGTGCACTTAGTCTACAGAGCCATTCTGGCACGCTAATGTACTGTAATCTATGAGCCATTCTGGCACGGGAGCCATCCTGGCACGCTACAACCACGTGGATAAAATGGCGTCGAATTCCCATCGGGTGATGTTTGTTATATTTATGTGCCTGCTCTGTATAGTACTGTTTTTTCATTTTTCAAGGAGAATAATAGGTAAATTTCTGTGAATAATGGGTAACTTTAAAGAATAATAGGCATATGGAGTAGGAAATTCAGAATAGAATATCCGGACAAATTGTGGGAATAATAGTCTCAGGCCTAGCCATGGATGTCGCTTCGCTTTAGCGAGTGACGTAATGCAGAGTCTCGTGCGATAGTTGTGCTGAATCAGCAGTAGTTCACTCAACGTTACGTAAGCTCGAACCGCGTAATGCTGAGCGAGCTCTATTACATAGGTCCCCAGAAAGTAATGCTCCAAGCAGAGAAGGTACTCTAAACACGCGAAGGGTAACGTTGTAATATTATTGTTTGTAGGTTATTCTGGTTTTTCACATGTTTTTACGCTTATGCACGAATAATAGTTAAAAATGTGCGAAAAGCCAATAAGAACGTAGAGATGTGGAAAAAAACGTGGAACCATTATCATCCGCATTGGAGGTTGCTAGCAAACCAACTTTCTCATAATATTTGTGAGCAGATGTGTTACAGTCCACAGAATTGTCAATGGAGCCTCAGATAGTCACGAGGTGTCATAGCAACTGCATATTATTTTTTCATTTTATTGTGAGCCAATGCAAACACTTAGGCTACTACAATCATTAATGTACAGTGAATAGTGTCTTGCAGTTATATACTATACACAACTACTCTTGCTTGAACTTAGTAGGTATACATAATGTAGTTGTCAATCGAAACACACATCACTAAAGTCTGGAAGGAAGGGAGAAAATTCCTTTATCTCAGAGGTACAGTGGAACCGACACTTTTGAATGAAGTTGCAGTTTTGACGGATGTTTGAGAGGCAGACCTTGACCCCATAATGGTCCGAAGGAGATATTCCAATGGAGGGAAACACTTTATCTAACAAACGCTGCGATGGGAAGAAGACAACACTATTATATAGGGTAATGGGTGTGTCAATATACTATCCTTTTTATATACTAGTAGGTGAATGCAGGGCATTTTTGGTGAGTGGGAGTAAGCACACAATGCTGAGTGTAGCTGAATGAGCCATCCTAGCCTTTTAACATGCACCTTGGAACCATCAAGATCGGAGAGACGTACAGCCTCGGTCAGGCATTGAGGAGTGTAGTGAATGCCAGCTAATGGACGACAGTTCTCTCGCTGGATAGATTGCGCATGTATAGCCTGTTAAGTTTTGAGTAAACCAAACGCATGCGCAGTTGGACGACGTACGGGCGTATAAATATATCATGCTGTTCGGACCACTAGGTTAGCTCGCTCCCGCTCGCCAATTACTCACTTTTGCATAGATCACTCTCTCAGTGGTATCAGTAGTGATGTAAATATGGTCAATTATCGTGCTCGGAAAGAGACCACCAGTAAGAGGGTTGTCAATACAGAAGGTGCAGCGACCATCTTTTAGAACGTATGGACTGACAAAGCCACGGGCATTCATGAGACCATAGTAGAACGGGAATTCTGCCACCACACCACCTAGCAGAAGATAACATATTAGAGATTATAGCTACCTTTCGTAAGGAATTGTACTCTGAGCAGATTATTTATAGCTAAGTGCACCTGTTCTAGCTGGGCCGTGGTTGAAATCTCCAAGAAGAATGGGGACTTGGATTCCAGAGTTTTTGATGACATCAAAAAGTGTCATCACCTCATCTCTGTGCTGTTCAGCATAGGAAGAGTAAAGAAACGGAACCACAACTGGAGGACCAACTGCAGAAAAAGTAAGTAACTAGATAAATACCTGCTAGAGGAGTCACCTTAATTTGAGGTGTGATGCGATAGAGTTGCACATATATTTTGTGAGAAAACACGAGCACGAGTCACATACGACATTACTGTGTGGGTGGTATTGTCGGATAGAAACTAGAGTGTTAGCTTACAATTGCGCATTCAGACACTACTTGCAAAGCCCCGGCCAGCAGTTGAGGATGATTTTAAAACTTACCCACAGAGTTATAGGCGATGATCCAATGATAAATTCACTTTTTGAATCAAACAACCATGGTGGAAATCAGACTGACAAAGGGAAGAATTGGACCATAACCGTAAATTCCATTTACACGTTAAAAATGCAGCAGGGGAAGAAGTGACATCCATTTCCCCCTCTGTTCTATAGAGTAAGGTCTTACCGTAGAGAGGAGGAGGAGCCAATGGAGTAGACAAGTGAGTACAAATCAAATCTCCTACACCACTTACCTGTAGGAATAACATACAAACAGACAAAAGTACAATCTGATACCCATCACTTTTGAGGAAAATGGTTTAGATATAATAGGTAATAAGTGCACTCAACATGCTATAGACATGTGCATTGTGTGTTGTAGATTCGAACCCATACCAGCTGAGTGGCCCTGGTAGAGGGCTCACCTAGACTGCAGAGTGTCATGGGTTCGAATCCCACCCAGGGCAGCTCTTTCTTGCGCTGTCCTGGGTGTAGTTGACTTGTTTGCCTTGCCTTGCCATTCTACCTCATTACAAAGTTGTTGAGACATTAATGTTGCAAGGCTGTTGTAGAGAACAAAGGAAGGTTGGAAATTTGATACTGATACCCCATTTAGGGCACCATCTGGAATGAATGAAGGATAGGGTTGATACATAATTGCTATGGAGTATAGATGCTTCAGTTGGAAATGTGATACTGTTGTAGGCAAACATCTGGCATGTATGAAGCCATAGGGTTGATATTGCTCTGGTGTAGATGGTTTAGCTTTAGTATCAAACATTATAGCATATCAGTGAGTAGCTACATCCTACTTACAGATGCAGTCATATACCCCATGTAATGCACCATCTGGCATGTATGAAGCCATAGGGTTGATATGATGCTTCAGCCATCAAACGTAGCATATCAATGAGTAGCTACATCCTACTTACAGATGCAGTCAGGTAGCCCCTGAGTAGGCTGTGATTATTAAAGGGGTCGGCTGTTGGATTGAGAAGTTCTTTCTTGCTGAGTAGCATGAGTCCGTAAGTCTTCTCAAAGTTGCTGGCGGGAATTGTGAGACAGTCTGTCTCATTCCTGCTGTTCAACTCAAGGATGAGACAGCTACTGCATGCTTCTGCCAATCTGGTGAACTCCTCCGTGCATCTAGATGAGGAAGATCACACGTACTTTATTATACTCTGTGGTAAAGCTCTGAGATAAAGGTATGAACAATGGCTTTATCTTATACTCATTCCTGTAACCAAACATCGCAGAGAAATATAGCTATTCTATAGCTACCTGAGAGTGCCGCAAACCCCAAATGCTGGTCCACTCAGACCAGCACAATTCAGTGCTCTACAGTCAAATGTTGCATCAACAGAGCCCTGTTGGCAGGATGGAGTGGTCGTGTCACTTGGCTCTGTATCAAGGTCTATTGCACTCTGAGCGTAGGGATAGAATGGTTTCAGGTCCCTTCGTATCTTCCTCTGGACGTCGGCAGTCCATGCTTCTTGCAGACAGAAAATATCAACATCGCTCTGGATCATCTGTATAGCGTGCGACATAAAATATTTGATGTTGTGTAAGTATGTATAAGAGACTGGCCAACCTGGTCGATGAGAACAGAAAGTCTAGCATCCACATTTCCGATGGTGCCGAACACTAGCCCTGTGTTGTAGGTGGCTAGCGTCGTGTATCGCGAACTCCCCGGCGCAGAGGCAGCTTGCTGCACTACAACTCCAAGAAGAAACGTCAGGGAAAGAGCCTTCAAGAGCACCATTGCTGATCTATTTCTAGTTTCGTTCGGCGTTTGCGTTGCGTCGCGTCGAGGTCACGAGACTAGATGACTGAAAGGTTCATGGAAATCAGTGGAGGTATAAGCCTTCAGTGGTTTCAGTGGTTTTTTAACCCTCGGCGTGCATGCGCAGCGAGGGTTACAGTACTTGGGTCTGTCTGTCTGTCCTTCTGTGTGTCTGTTACTCAACATCTCACTTCTCCAATGTTTTTTCGTCTCACAAACGATACTACCTACTTAACGGGCAATGAAGGTCAGAACTTTTTGTGGCGATTTTCCTGAAACGATTGCGTTCGAGAGATATGCCGTGAAAACAAGCGAAAAAGCCAACTGCTCACTGGGCTTACCGCGACCTGATCTGCTCGCTCTGTGTACCTTGGGGGGCTCAAGAAGTCACAACGAATGGCATGTATCGACTCCCGCACTACTACTGCTAGCCCGTGTCATACTCTCCGCGAGCTACTAGCTGGAGAGACCACGACTCCACGAGAGAGTACAGCCGCAGTACCGCGCATGCGCAGTTCGCCGAGGGTTTGCACTTCAGTGCTTTTCATATCTACATGAAGAGGTTACTCAAAGTTTAAATAACATTCCAAAAGAGCTGACTAACTAGTACCAGGTACTATAGTTTCTACTCAACAATAGCTGTAGAAGTGGATTCACTAGGGGAAAAATCAGTTACGCGCGGACCTTGCGCTCCATCCGAGCATGCGCGATGCCAATATCTTCTACACGTTAGCTACCCCTATTATATACCAACACAGATCGAATGAAATCCTCCGAGCGGGTATCCCTATCTCAAAAAGGCCATCTTGGGTGTTTTCTGATGTGAACGAGTCCATCAACTCCCATTCCATTAAGGATGTATACCGCCTTGGCAAGTACACCTCGACCCCTACTAGTTAAATTCATTCGTGCAGCAGATGCCACTAGGATCCTTTCAAAAAGAGGATCTTCGCGAGGTTCGCCTATTGTCATAAAACCAGACATGTCCCCTAATGGAGAGAAAATGTGAATCATTACTTCTGAAAGAAAGATGGTCTCTCGTGCAGTCGGGTGTTCCCCGCAATGTCAAAAACATCCGTGGTTCTCGTTTACGTGTCAGAAACAAGCTCTATGGTCAAGTCTTGAGTTGTGGCTCCAACCTTCTGTTCAGTTGTCAAAAGTGACGCTCTGTTGTCAATGACAGTGCTGTTTAAATCTCTTCTCCCATTGTTCCCATTACTACACCCCAGCTGTCTCAACCACTGGTTGAAACGTCTGTGGCCCTGAATGTAAATGGTTGCTCAGCTAGCTCTCAAGATCAATCTTCGAACCTGCCACCATCTTCTCTTTCTCAGTCCTCTTCTACCACTCCTGTCTCCAGTCAATGACTACCCAACTGCATCAAACTTTCTTATCAACAT